GTGGGGGGGGGGGGGGGGGAAGAAGAGTACCTCAAGAATGCTAAAGCACAACAGCACAGGCAACCAAATCGAAAAAAGAAAACTTCCCTCACAGTCTCCTCTAGCCAAACCTTTCAACAACAACCTCTACCAAAACAGCCAGCCACCTCCCTTATAGGCAGAGAACAGAGAAGAAGAGAAAAGAAAGCCACCCCCAAGCCCACAGCACTCGAATCGGGACAAAGAGCCAAAAAAAGGAACTCTCCTGCCTACAGAAGATGAAGCCAACGGCGCTTCTCGGACCCCGCGGCTCGCGGTTCTAAACCACTCCCTGTGGGATCGATATCTAGGACTCCATTAGAGACCTATATTACTTGAGCGATACGTACACTTGCGTTGATAAGTGTGACTTTACCATTATAAAATATTTATTACGTCCATATTTATCTTGTATTTTTAAGCATATATAAAGTCGTGGTCAGTAACCTGCACCCAAGAGCCCTCTAGGCCCAGTTCAGGAGGAGGGTTATCCTTGTCAAATGAGTCATTTGGTCTTTTGTCGGTGAGCCATATGTTCTTCCCCTCATGAGCCTTTTTTGCTTTCACTTGGTCCCTCCTTAGTTGTACTTCTTTTTGTTTTTGTCTTTTAATATTTTTGAAATTCATTTAAACTTGTCTCTAATGTACAATAATATTTAAATTTTAACATCACATAAAATATTTTGGGTATGACTTTTTTAAAAAAAGTTTAACACATTGATACGCTTTTAATATATATATCTATGTATATATATATATATATACATATATGTATTAATTAAAATACGATTTACCCGAGCACGGCGACGCGACAAAATGGGTATCCTCCCCAAGCAAAATCGACGTTCCGGACGTGCCGGCGCAGTCCGTTTCGCCGTCAGAGGTCGTTCAGACGACGTCGTCGACAGTCAGGTCAAAAACGCGTTGAAACTCAAATTTCACAAAAAAATCGACCCGCGATCGATCGTCACAAGTGCTTTACTCGAGTCCTCGGCAAATAACGGTGCAGGCAATGCGAATTGCAGCAATCGGACGCGTCGACTCTCCGAATTGCGAAGCTGGTGCGCGCAGGAGTGTGAATCGTGCAGAAGGCCGACCTAAGGCTCGGAAAGGTCCTATAGGAATTCACTTTGGGTTTCCTCATGTCGGTTTCATCCTTCTAAGTGTTAGAAGTCGATACCACACACGCGAAACTCCAAAAGAGGACGGAAACAGGTCGAACTAAAACGAGGCGGGCACCACCTCTAAGGTTCTAAGATAGTCGCAGGAAGACCCCTAAGGCTAGATCCTAACTCCTACGAGAAAAACTAGACCTCACGAAAATTGAGGTCAACACCTTTATAGGGATCTTGATGTTTGACATGAAAGATGCCCTATTTTTAAGTTCTTTTGAATTAAAAATTATAATTATCCTTTTGTTCAGATTTATTTCACATTTTAAGACTAGGATTTAATAATTTCTTTTGATTTTTTGAGCAAGAGAAATTGCTATGATATTCTTCATTATATTCTTCATTAATCTTTGTTTAAAGATTCTAGCCCAGCTTATCTTGATTGAAGAGTGATTAAATAGACTATTTTTAGCAGTTTGTTTGAATAATAGAGAAGTTTGTTAACACTGTAGAGGGATTTTAATTAATTCTTTTAGAAGCAGTCAAATACGTTTAGTCATCATCTCTTGACGGGTATAAACATGCTCAATGGGTTGAAAGAATATTTTTTTTGAATTTACCTAAGCTATTTTGCATTTTGGAATTTAATAGCTCAGCTTAATGCTACAAAGATTGTTTTATGTTCTTATTTTTAATGTATATATATATATTATTTTTGTTGTGTAGCTAGCTATTAAATAAGATGGTTGTATATTAAATTTAAATGAATTTAAAATTTAATTTTTATGAAATTTGAAATAAAATTTAAAGTGACATTCATGTGTTGATACAGTTACATAAAATAGTTATAGTTTTCAAAGTCAAATTGCCACATCTCATATGTTTATTCTTCTATTTGATATATTTGAATTCAAATTCATAATTATTATAGCGTGTCATAGGAAAGTTATAGAATTTTTCAATTGTCTTCTCTTAAAGCCTTGCACACTATCAACATGGTTTCAAACAACTTATAATTTAACTACTCTTTAAAATTGATAAATCTGCATACAATCCTCATAAATGATTTTGAAATTTGTAGTATACTGAACTGATCAAAACTTTGGATTTCAGTTATTCTTAACTAAATAGTTTATGGATGCGCTTGCAAATATGAAAGTGGGATTTTATGATAAACCATGCAATTATTTAGTTATTTATTTATTTATTTATGATGAATGGAGAAGTGGAATAATTGTTGACTGATTTCTTTCCCCCATCCCTAAATTTGATTTTCTTTTTCTTTTTTCAGGATTAGTTGACACTGTGAAGTCAAAGGTTGTTAACTCTGAATCAGAAGTTAGAAGTATTGGAAAAATTGAAATATTAGTGGAGCTTGTAGATTCATTCTGGAATTATGTACCATCACAAGAAGCAAATTTGAAATTGCAACTTCAAGGCCCTAACAACACAAGTCTTTTGAAAACAACTTTTATTGAGAGTAAAGATGGCCTATATATTGGCTATTATTTACCAACTTCTCCAGGGAGTTTTAACATTTGCGTCTCATTTGAAGACAAAATTCTATCGCCTTGTCCCGTCAAATTTCATGTGCATGAGAGTAAGCATAGAAATTATAGCATGACAGCATTGAGTTTCACTTTTTTTATGCAAATACATGAAAAATATAGATATTTGATAACCAGGGTTTGGGTTGTGACTTGTAAGCATTTAATAAAGAAATAGAACCTGAAAACTGCAATTAGTTTAGTGATATTTTCATTATTTATAAATTTAGAAAATCACGATGGAATACGTCGCAGAAGACTTTGCCATAGCTAACACCATAGGCCTATTTAGCAGATTGATCATTATGCTTATTTGATTTTTTTTATAGGAGAATATAATTTACTACATGTACACATAAAAATATGTCAGCACAAATCTTAAAGCTGGTGGGTGGCTCAGGAAGAAGATACAGACGATCAAGCGCAGCGTTCAACGATCGTTTCCAGATGAGTATTGGTGAAGAAGGCACGTTATCTGAACGATCGGTAGAAGACGCCAAGAGAAAATATTGTATGTTGGTAATCAACCTTTAGAACAGTCAACGGGAATCACTCTTTCGGATTATAAATTGACTGAATCAAGGCTTGACAGGCGATCAACAACCCTCATCGATCAAATCGTCCCCGGTTTTATTATATGCAAATAACTCGGTAATTACCAAAACATTGCCTCTTAAAATTTAATAATGAGGGGAGTGGTATATGTTTTTATAATATTTGAACCTATGGGGGTCCATATTATGATAAGGGACACCTTTTGGCTGTCTAGTACCGCTCTCTCTCTTTTTCTGCCTCTTAATCAATTTCTAATAGAATGTTCGATTCCTTGGGTATGTTTCCCGGACATTTTTGGATTCAACACTATCCGATTTTGATCATCTTTGGTTTTTTATCCTTTGATGCCTCCTTTCATTTCATTTTCATTGACATTAATATTCCTTACAGTTTAACTTATTAAACCTTTTACACTTTCTCATGTATTATTTCAAGTGAATATTGGACTAAAAATCTAAATTATGGTATGGAGGGCAATATGTCTTTGCCAAAGTTAATACTTCAGAAGACTTTGTTTGAAAACTTTTATGAAACTCTTGATGTGTATTCACTTTTCTACAGACTTCAACCTTTATAAAACTTTTAATGTTTATTCACTATTTTACAGGCGTATAATTATTCATGCAGGGATACTAAATTGCAATGCACTCTTTGTTTATATGAAAGACTTAAATATGGTCAAATGTCAGTAGAAAGCCGCATAGAAATTTGGCACTAAAATATGGGTAAAGCTAAAGTAATGGTAGTTTTTATCCTGCATGGCTCAACAAGCTCCCCATGAGGTAGCTCCGGGATTTTTTAAGGCAAATAACATTTGACCAGGAAAAATTTAAAAAAAAAGAGAGGAAAATTTACATATATAGCACACTATAGTACTTTGGTGCTTTAAACCAATACATGAAAATGTGTATTTCACTTTTAAAAAGTGATACTAGTGCTATTTTTTATGTGATATTGAAGATTTGAGTGTTATCTGTGTAAATAAGAAAGTTTAGATGTAAGATATGTAAATACATAAGAATTGTGTGCTATGTATGTAAATGCCCCAAAAAATAATTATGAAAATTATTCTATGAAATGGAGCCCAACGCCACACTCCTCGTCAGTTCAAACTTTTCTCAAGCCTTAAATAAATTAAAGGAATATTCAAGGAAATTCAAACTGTTAGTTGGAATGGTTTAATCTTTTATCTCAATGCAATTGTGTTATGATAATGAATCAATCCAAGATGATGATAAGGAGGTCAATGGAACTTCGGATTTGTATCTCACATATGGTTTTTTAATTAATTAAGAAAAGAAATCAAATCCAAGATTCTTACAAATTGAGGTTTTAATTGCAGGAAAAGTTTCATGCAAGCATGGGGTAATGGTTTTAAAGATCCTCATAAATATCTAAGTTATTGTGTGTGATCAATTCACAAACTATGCAAGAATCTTCCAATATGAATTCAAGAGAGAGAGAGAGAGAGCATGGGAGATATGTGTGATTATAAGGCATAGTTATATCCTGGAAACATTTTAAAATGTTTCATCAAAACTCTTTATTTGGTTGACAGGGAAGCAGCAACTTTATTTCTTTATTCTATCTTCTTTATCCAAGTATTCTACAGCAATTCTTGACACAATTTAAGTTTTTTTATAGGTAAGTACTTTCCAGAAGCTAATAATGACAGTGTTTCCGTTTGGGAGGACGAATCAGTTGTTTTTGATGTATTATTCAATGATTATGCTTCAGATGGACAAGCTAGCCTAAGTGAATTTTCTAAAGTACGCCATTGTTCTCTATCGCTACTTATTTTGCTTGCCTAGTAAAAATATTGTATAAATTGCATTGTTGAACCATCCTTAATTTATCATTTTCATTTGAATGTTGACATGGAAGCATTTTGCATGGTTTCAAGCATGTGAAGAAAGAATGAGGAAAGGGAATTAAATTATTATAAAGCTTTTTCAACCTCTACTTTCTACGAAATATTTGCCACTAAAGCATGGGAGATAGAAGTTTATATTATTATCTTTTGAGTGTTTCGGAATGTTGGTAGTTGTTTTCTACCAAGTAGCACTATTGTTTGACAACCAAATAGGTAGGGTTCATTTGTTCCAATACAGTTTATTGTTAGCTTGTGTTCCTGTTTGTGTTGTGTTACTTTGTTCACAGGTTATAGAATGATTCTGCTTACTCTGAACCTGATGTTTCAAACAATTTACATGTGATATCATTAGATCAGACATTTTTCATAATTTACAGGATGTTTTCTTTAGACTGTTGATGGCTGAAACTTCAAACATATAAATCATATTTAAATTAAGAAGTGCCTGTAAAAAAAGCTAGCTGTCACTTCGCAACAACAATATCTTTTAACTCCCCTATCTATATGATATTAGCACTTGTGTTTCAGGAAAGATTGACAAACATAATTGCCTTGTGGACGCAAAACAGAAATGACTGATAGGGATAAATATGCTGATTAGGTCCTTTCTGTTGTCCAATTTTTCTCATCAAGATGTTATTTTGAAGTGCTGATGGTTGTGATATCTTTCCTTTTCCGTTTTTAAGTGGGCTTGTTGGAAAGGATTGTTTTGATCCCTTTGGTGGCATCATCATAATAGAAAAAGAAGGCACAATTATGTGCCAAATATGAGGTCTGTAGTTATGATGAGATTCCCTCGTTTACCTGTGTTAATTTTTTTTCTCTTGTAAAGGTGTAATGCTGATGATGTTGGCACTCTAATTTTTTTTAATCTTCCAATTGAAGTTTGAAATTATTGTTTTGATTCCCTTGATAGCATGAGGTAAGTTGTAAAAGGTTGTACTTTTAGGTTCCAAATCATTGAAAACCAAGTAGTTGGGAAAGTCTAATTGCTGAATCTAGATCCATGAATCACACCTAAAGAATAGAGAGTAGTACATAAGAGAGAGAAAGAGATGGAGAGTGCACTATAATGACCAGTAGAATTGAGAAATTATGTAACTTTTAATTCATGAAATAACTCCTTATTTAGTCAAAAAGGGTGTAATAGGTGAAGTTAATTTATGCCCCTACTTGAGTAGGGACTATACAGATTATTCTAAATATTTCACTCTTGGATTGTCGGATCTCCTCGAGATCCATGCTGGCATAATTTATGTGTACACTAATAATGATGGCGCTCTATGCCAAATGTGTGTATCTTTTGTAAAGATTCCGCCTTCGTGATTATATTATTTGAACATGCCAACTCTCATATCAAGCATTTGAAATTTATGATTGTGAAATCTAAGTTTAATTTTCTTTGGCAGCCACTTCATGGATCACTCTTACTAGTTGGGAAACTTTTCAGATATACCCCTTTTAAAGGATATTTTGGGAATGATTCCTTCTTGTACAACATCACTGATTCAAATAACAATGTTGCTATAGGTGCTGCTTTCATTTCTGTCCTTTGCAAACCGCCTCAATTTGTTTCTTTACCTCTTCGACTTAATGTGACTGAAGATGTGTTGAGTCCTCAGTTTGGGTGAGTAGCCTTGCTAGACATGTTTATGGCGCACTCATTAGTGATTTGTTTGGTTAGAATATTTTCTATTTGGGAAATTTACATACATACTACACAGTTCTTATATATTTACGTATCCAACCTGCAAAGTTTGATTTTTTACACTTTTAGCACCTTAGTGTCATAAAATTATGCTTGAAAAGGTGTATTTCTTTTTTAAAAAATAGTCATTAATATGTTTTATGTGATATTAAAGATTTGAATGTTTTGCATGTAAATATTAATGCTTAGGTGTTAGATATGTAAATACATAAGAATTGTGTGTTATGTATGTAAGTGCCCCCTTCTATTTTCATTCCTTCAGATGCTTTTGTGTGCCTTAATGTCTTGTTAGATTTATTCACCTCTATCTATGCAGAGGCTTTCCCGGTTTTGAAATACGGTATTCGGATAAAATGGAAAATATTTCTCTTACGATAAGTGCGAAGTTTGGTTCTGTTTATTTAGCTCCGAGTCAGATTGGAATTTTTGAACCAGTGGGCGGTATGCTTTCAGTTAGGAGAGGTGGGAGGGCAGGGAAGGACTTGGTCTTAACGGGGCCGATTGAAGTTGTTAATTCTGCTCTTCAGTTGATTCAGTATCTCAGGTATTCTTGTTATTCCTTACTTGAGAAGTATGCTTGCTATTTTATAAGAAGCTATGTTCTGTCATATAATGTTTTCCCTCTTGCTAGTTCTAGTTAACTTATTTTGATCAGTTTTTGTCATTAGCTTGTAGTAAAGCATCTTAATATTTCTTGCCGTTAGGAGTTCTAAAATTTTATGAAGGCTTGTTTGGCATCACTAAAATCAAAATGTACTGTTTTTTGGTTAGTTTGGTTTGATTTTGGATGAACCAAAGTATAAATAATTTTAATAATGAACCAAGTTTTCTTGAACATCAGTAACATATATTAAAAAAAATACAAAATAATATTTGTTAAAGTTTATAATTTGATGTCTTGAATAAATACTATTTATAATGATATTTTTGTCACTTGTTTACTTATACCTTATGAGTTTTATTAGCTTAATGTTTGAAGACATTAGTTTAATTGTTCTTTTGTTTGATTAAGTAAAATCAAATTTATAACTAGAATTTGAAGAAATTCAAAATTATAACTAATAACCGAATTGATGCTTTTGTAATGGTTGACTCCGTTCAGTTTTCTGGTTTCTTCCAAACAATGCACACCTCTAGTTCCTGATTCTTCCAAACAATAAGCTAAGCCTGGGCTGTGAAATGGGCAGTAAATAGGTTATAAGAAATATAGTTAAATTACCAATGAATCAACAAGGCAAGATGAATGGATCAAGTTAAGAGTTTTCTTAACCCTTACCCCCACCCCCACCTTGCTTTAATTTGTGAATAGAATTTACGACATTTTGTGGGCATTTCAAAAGTGTTTTTGAGTTGCCAATATTTTAGTAGTCTAAAGGTCCACAACGACAACAATAACAACAACAACAAGTCTTTATCCCACTAAGTGGGGTCGGCTACATGAGTCTTTTTCTCCATTGCATCCTATTGAGTGTCATATTTTCATGTTATTCTAATAAATTTAGATCATTTTTTATACAAATATGCCCAAGTCTTTCCAGGCCTACCTCAGCCTTTCAAATGAGAATTTTGAAGGCCGGAGGGGGTAAAGATTCTATGTGAACGGCACTAGTAGTAGTCTAATTATAAACATTTAAAATTAAGGTGTTGAATTTACAGGATTTGTTTTACAATATTTTTCAAACTACATATGTAGTGTATCAGAAAATAATAATATTAATATTAGCATTACTATTATTATTATTATTATTATTATTATAATCAGTTTGGTGGTTATTATATTAACTCTATCTAAGAGCATAGATACTATAATGCTTCTATCTCGATGCATTAAAAGATCAATGCAGAAAAGATGTAGAAGCACTTCTCATCTAAGTAAATGCAAATCAATGAACAACAACAACAACAAAACCTTTATCCCACTAAGTGGGGTCGGCTACATGAATCCTTTTTCTCCATTGCATCCTATTTAGTGTCATATTTTCATTAAAATTTGGAATATTTTATTTCTTTTAAGTTTTTTGTGGAAGATTATGAATAATAGGTGCTACCCAATATTCTAGAAGGTGAGCTCTCTTATTTTAAAATCATTTATCTCGAAGGTGGAGTTTATCTTTTCCTTATATGCCTATTGATCTTTATTATACTATATCTTGAAGCTGGCATAAGCAATTATCATTAGTTTCTTTTGTTTGCTGCAAAATGGTTAATATTTTAACATACTTGTAATGATCATCCAATTTGATACTGATAAATATGTAGTCGATATGATTGAATTGTACAAGTCATTTTCCTCTTTGGCACCTGTAATTCTTATTATTGATTAATATTAATATCTATGCTACTGATTTTATCACACATTCTCATTTTCTGAGAAGCTTACTTTCTTGCTTTTTAGTAATGAAAACTTCTATGGAGACGATACTATCAGTTTGTATGCGACCAATAAAAATGGATTACTAGATTCTCATGTGCCGGTTTTTGTTAAGCCGATTAATGATCCTCCAAAGATTCATGTGCCCAAGTTCATAACACTCGTGGGGAAGGAAGCAAGTGATGGTTTTCAAATCTTTGATAAACAAAGAGATATCTTTGAATTCTCAATCTCTGATAGTGATATCTTTCATTACACAGGTACGTTGCTATGCCTGGAAATTTATAGGATCATTTTTTATTTTGATTTTTGATATTGTTTTACTTTCGTTTTAATTGAAATAAAAATTTTTTTGGTGTGTCATAACATTTACTTATTTTCTTTCAAATTATTTTACAAGATGCAAAACTGTATTTGAAATTATAATGTATTAGCATATAGTCCTCATTGTCATATTTGTATAGATAAATGTCAGACCACTGAATAGCACACTTCAACTAAGATTTACTAAACCTATGATATAAATCAAACCTAACCAAAGTTGTTCCACCTTTGCTGTAGATGAAATACTCTCTACAACTAATCAATTCCATTGACGATTTTTTTTAAAAAAGCATCATTAATTATTTAAGGTGATGTACACACACACACATATTTAAATCGGATCAAACCGCCCGGTTCAGTCGATTTGACCATGAACCAATTATTAGCCAGTTTGATTAGCATAGAAAAACGACCTAATATACCTGCGTTCAAACTGGTGAACCGTCAAACAAATCGAGCCTTTTGAGCTTAAAATATAATATTTCAGCTTTTAAAGGTTTACAAAATCTTATATATGATAAAAAAATTTAATTAAACAAATAAACTACTTACTCATCAAGTAGCTAAAAACTTCAACTATGAGCCTCCTTTTTTTCAATTTAAATTTTACAATTTTAATTTTTTTTTCCTATAATTTGATGCTAAATGAAGTATGTAAATAGTCGCCAAAAAGGAGAATTGGGCTGCGAAAATTGATAAACATGTTATAAACTTTTTTTTATTTATATATTTAAGGTTAAGTTATTTATATCTATATTTATTTTACACATTTATATAATATTTATGGTTAATCAACTTCTCAACGAGCTCCATGTCAAGCCTCAATCAAGCATTTTAATGAGATATTCAAGTTTTTTAGTTTAGAAATTGATATTTTTGCATAAGATTTTTATTTCATAATGTATTTCTCTTAAGCTATGTACATTGCATAATTTTAAATTCATTTTAAGTCATATTTAAATAATTTTATTATTTATTAAATCATCTATTTCATCACCTAGCACAAATAATTAATTGTTGGATTCATTTCTTGTTTGGGTTAACATAGGAATACTTTGTATTTTGTTAACCTCTTTTTTTTTCCTTTTAGGTAATAAGTCTCACTTGGTGGTCATGTTTTCTGTGGAAGTAAATGATGGGCTTCTATCAACAACTCTTCCTGTTCATCTAATCAAGACTTCTGAATTGAAGATTAAAAGCAGCAACCAATGGCAACCTTTGCAGACGTTTGTAACCATTGATAACCAATTTGTTATCAAAGGAAGAGGAGTTCGATTCCAAGGGACAATTAGGGATTGTAATAATGCAATGCAACGACTATTTTTTCAGGTATTTTTGTATGCTAAAATGGTCTAAAAAATTTTAGCTGTTTGCATTTTAATACTATATTTGTTACATTATTGAAACCAACCTTTCCACTCAATTTCAAAGTTTTAGAAGATGAACCGCATGAGTTCACATTAAAAAGTTCTAAAACTATGTCCAAATTAGTCTTGCATGCTGAACTTGAACAAGAATATATAAATCAAGTCTAACACAAACACACTGTTCACGAGCAATTTCGAACACGAGCTAATTTCAAACAGAACTAATTTCGAATGAGACAAACACGAGTCAAGCCAGAACTAGCTCAAGCTCTGCTCGTTTACAACCTTACATATATCACTCATTTTCTATTCATTAGATTGAACTTTTCAATGTACTGACATTTCTTTCTAGTAATTCCTCAAACTTGTTACCATAACTACTTCGTTTATAAAAAAATGATATAGGAAGATCTACATTCATAACACTAAATTCCTATTTATTTACATATCTAACACCTAAACTTCAATTTTTACATGTATGCCATCTTACCCCTGTATGAAAGTGTATTGACATTTTAAAAGTTAAAATGGTGGTATTTATTGTGCGATATGAAACCTTTGGGCTGTATAAATGTAAAAAAAACAAAACAATGTCTAAGTGTTAGATATGTAAATACATAGGAAATGGATGGCATGTATGTAAATGCCCCAAAATTATATTTTTGGTTGGAGGGAGGAGTCAAAGTTCTTATCGGAAAACCAGGTATTAATGTCTTCTATTTGTTTCTGATTTCAGGGCACAAATCTTGATGCACTGTTGACCATCACCGTTAATGATTTGGGGAATTACGGCTGCTACTTGGATTGTACGGATATCATTTCATTTCCACTCTCCGTGGAGGTCAGCGTGAGTTTACTCAAAAGAAGGCCGTTGACTTCAACTACAGCTTTTTGTAAGTTTTCATTACTGATCCAATAAATTATTTAAATTTTTTTTAAATTAGAAAAAGTCAAATCATGATTTGTCTAATTCTATTTACTTTTCAAGAACAGAATGCTTATTAAATCAAATGACGAAGACAATGTTATAAAATATGATTTTATTCTAGAAGCATTTACATACATGCCGCCAATTCCTATGTATTCACTTATCTAACATCTAAACATTAGTTTTTTTTACATTTAGACCGCCCAAATCTTTGATATTGCATTAAAAACACCATTATTTTAATTTTTGAAAAGTAAAATACACCTTTTCATGCATAGGTAACGCGAAAAGTAAAATACACCTTTTCATGCATAGGTAAAGCGGCGTGCATGTAAAAATTGAAGTTTTGGTGCTAGATATACAAATACATATGAATTGTGTGGTTTGTATATAAATCTTCCTTTATTCTTTGCCCGACTGTTGGAATAGATTCTTAAAAAAGACTCGTGTGTCGCTCGCTGCGACTCTATGGTCGGCATTTGTGCTGTCAGTCCTAAGTTTCCTAGGATCACAAGTTCGAGCCCGCCGGAGTACGGGATCGAGTGGTTAGGCATATGAGGCTGGTTGGGGGACTCGTATTATAGCCTCTGATCAATCGTTTTAATATATATAGGGAGAGAAAGAGAGAGAGAGAGAGAGAGAGAGAGAGAGATGGGAAATTTAGATAGCTAACACACAATTCTTATGTATTTATATGCCTCACGCCGAAACTTTCATATTTACAAAAATACCAATGTTGTGAGTGATTTTTTTTGGATAATGATGTGCTTCTCAGTCATTTAGACTAATTCTTCCATTAATGACAGTGATATTAGGATGATAACTTTCTAGGTATGAATATAAGCTAAATTCCTTTTTTACACTGCTATTTTAAGAGAATTTCATCTATAACCCTAACAGCTGACGGTGTGATATCGCTGTTTTGCAGTGCTTGGATCTGCCATATTTTTTGAAATTGCAACGTTGTTTCTTCTGGGCAGTATACTTCTATTCTTCATCTTTAAATGCATGGTAGCACTTCATACCGAAAGAAACAATGGTGATAACCCCAGACAGGAGCTTACTGAAAATCATAATGAGAAGGTAATCTTTGCTTTTCTTCTGATTTTTCATGCTCGGTGATTAGTGTTTGTTCAATCATGCACCATTCTCATGCAGTTTTACAAGATTAGGATATGAAATGTAAATTAAAATTACAGTATTTATTGTTTTTGGTTTGTTAGTGTAATTATAAAGATTTTGTTTGTGTAGATTGATATTTTACCATTCCAGAATGCAATGAATTTGAATAGAACATCGACTGGTTCGCTATCAACCCCACTTAACTTCTCGAGGAGGTCTTCGAAATTTTGTCGAAGGTAACCGTGAACATTTTGTAATTTTGCATGCAATTTTGAGATTGTTACTAATCCACTGTATAGACAAGTGGGGGCATTTACACACGTATCATCCAATTCTAATGTATTTACATATCTACCAAGTCTTATTTATAAAGATTTTGTTTTTAGCAATATTTAAAGGAATTGGTTGTTGCAAATGATGTTATTTCAATACAAAACTATTTTAGAGGGTCCATTAAATACTAGGGGGGTTTACATATCCAAGGCCTAAATGATGTAATACATATTTTACATATCCCAAGGCCTAAGTTTTTATATTTATTTTTTGGATGATTTGCTTGCATGTCACTCAATTCTTATGTAATTGCATGTCTTACATTTAAAACTTTTAAATTTTTACATATTACTGCCTTGCTTATGCATGACAAGGTGTATTTCACTTTTAGTAGTTCAAATGGTGATTTTATTTATTTATTTGATATGAAGGATTTGTTTGGTGCAAGTGCAAAAATGAAATTTTTGGTGTTGGATATGTAAATACATATGAATTGGGGCATATGTATGTAAATGATAAGATTTATATACATACACTCAATCATGCATGCCCCATTTCCCTATGCATGAAAAACATAGGGGCATTTTGATGTGATATGAAAGATTTCGGCGGTAAAAATGTAAAAAATGCAAAATGTAGGTGTTCGACATGTAAGATACAGTTAGGGAATTGGGTGGTATGTATGTATAAGGTTATGATGATCGAGAATTTGAGTAAACTCGCTTAGAATTTTACTTGCAGATCCGGTCGAAGAATTCGTCCGAAGCAATCTGAAATGCCACTATCAGTATCATGTGCTTCCAACAATTTGAAGGTTAGTTCTGCAAATATAGAATTGCAAACGAAGCCTCAGAGCGATTGAAGCAGTGTGCCTCTAACTATTTAGATCTTTGTAATACAATCACTCTATTTGGACTGTAGTTATGTTTTTAATAGAAATGATTAGTTGATATTTTAGTAAAAAATGAAAAAATTGATGAAAAATAGATTGATTTGTAAATAACAAATTTCAGGTGATCTTTATGTAATTGTCTCTAGAAAAGATTAGTTGATATTTTAGGTAGGCATTTGCAATTTGCACCTCATAGCTAATTCACTTTTCATATTTAATATCCACTAATTATATATAATGCCAAAAATTTCATATTTAATCACATAATATCTTATTGTTTGGATCACTTCAAAACATAAGCGTGGAAATTAATATTTTTTAAAAAATTAATTGGCTACAAGATTGTAAAGAATTATAATCAATTCAAATTATTTTTTTAAAAAAATTAAATAATAATATATTAAATTAAATTTGAATGATGTTTAATATAAATAATAAGATTTAAATATCATCATAATCTTTAACATCTTACGACGATTGCGTGATTAGAGTTATCAAAACAACTCTTTGATCGTTTTAACAACTACAAATTAGCAATTGGCTAAATTACAAGCATAAAAATAATAATAATTTATTTAATTCACATAAAATATATAATTAGAGAAAGGATAATGTACAAGAAAACCGAATCTTCCCTCAAATAAAACAAATAAAATATTGACAAACCAAATCCTGAAGAAAATTCAAACTTACCACTGAAAAACTAAGTTGTGAGACTATCAGGCAGAGAAGTGGGTGCTCCCACAACCTTACCACCAACATCAGGAAAGGTTTCCTGCTCTGGTAAGGGGCCAACCTTACCATCAGCCTCCACCTTCACTGGGTACTTGCGAAAGTTTAGGTGTGAGACATGTAAATACTAAGAATTGTGTGCTAGGTGTGTAAATTTGCCAAAAAAGAATACTCCAAAGAGATTACCGCTGAACTTTTCTCCAAAGGTTCATCACTTGCCTGCTCCCTACTTTTTGGCAGTTCTTCTCGGTTACCAAGACAGTAGAAATTCAGGTAATCTTGTGGGTGAGCTTCAAGTTCCATGCTTTTGAGTTGCTGCGCGACAATGCTGTACATCATCTCCATTGTTTGGGCCTGCAAAGGATGGCATGATCATTTACCACATAATTAAGCAGCATTGAATCAATTTTGGATAGAAAATGTAGCCGTTAACTGCTATTTGGTTCACCATTTTCTTGGGCGTCATCTTACGCAATTAACAAATGTTGGGGGTTTGGTTTGCTAATTTCGTAAGGTTTTGTTTGGTTCATGATACTCTTCAGGTCCGGTATAGGAATATGAAGTCCTACAAAAAGTCACTCTAAAAGGACTAACAAATCCTAAGTTGCACATTTAATCCATCATCCCAATCCAAAATTGTGCTGAATTCCACAAGCCTTCTTCCCATCAGGTTACAGATTATCTCATGATTACCAATCCCACTAAAACTAATCATATCGTGAATCAAACTCCATAAGATTGCAACTCAAGAAGTCCTGAGATTGGCCTAACATCAGGATGGTGAACATTTTGATGGTTAAATATCACTCAATTCCTGCCTATTTACATATTAAACACCTTACCTAAGCATGAAAAGGTGCACGTCACTTTTTAAAAGTAAAAATGATGGTACTTTGATGTGTAATGAAAGATTTGGATATGTAAATACAATGTGAAAATTCAGGAAGGTGGGAACGGCAGACCACCGACAAGGATCCTGGACGATTGAATTGGAAAACAACTTTAGAAACTCCTTCATTTGTTTTTATTCTCTTCTTATTTATATTTCTTTTATTTTATTTCAGAATTATTTCCTTTCCGTATTTAAGATTAGATATATTAGGGAAATTTATAAATTAGAACATCCGTATGAATAATGGAAATATGCAAGTATTTTTTCCCCCCAAAGTATGTTTTTCTTCACCTAGGAATTGGGTGGCACGTGCGTAAATGCCCCTAAAATATATTAGAAGAAACAATCAAAATCAAAGTCATAAATAACAGTCATCTTCACGGTTGATGGTAATAAATGAAATAGAATTTCAAAAAACAGCGCACAAACAATCCCAAAATTTCTTGCTAAATTTGAGTAAATCTTGGCAGCATTGATGTGCCATTCCGCAAATTCTACGGATATGACCCCCCATACTTAAAAAATGATTTTTTTTAGCATTTTGACTAATCAAATACATATGGGGGTGCCTATATCAATAATATAAGTCACAGCCACATAATGAGCTTCAATCACTAACCAATGGAAGCCGAATACAGTATTTATTAAGCAGAATGCAACTGAGCCTTTGCAAAGGTATATCGATTTGATTATGCAAATAGATATGGAATGAAAAACAAAATGAGTTTCAGATGGCGGTAATATTGAAGTTCTCTCGGCCCAATCATGCTTGTTCCTAGTTTTGATAGAATACTTGAAACTCTAAATTCGATTAGGAAATTGCTTGATTTTCAGCAGAATCTGAAATGACTCCACCTTATTCAAAAGGTTTGACCTAATTGTAGCACCCTAGCAGCTACTCTCGGTAACATATCTAACGTGGGATTTGTATTAGATATTCATTAAAAGTTAAAGACAAAAATAAATATCTTATTAAAACCAAAAGTAATTACAAGATAGAATTCGAAGAATATCTACCCTTTAATAAGAGTAATCAAACTCAAGTGT